AACAAGTACAACTTCTTCACCTTCCTACCTCTTAACCTGTTTGAGCAGTTCCAAAGGATTGCGAATGCCTACTTCCTGTTTTTGCTGGTGCTCCAGGTGAGGGAGAAAAACGTGTACACACACACACACACAGACACACACACACACACACACACACACACACAGACACACACACACACACACACACACACACACACACACACACACACACACACACACACATGCAGGCACACGCAGGCACAGGTAGGCAAGGCTACCTTCAGACTGTCAAACAGAAGTTATGAAATATTTAATACAATTCTAAAAAGAAAAAAACAACAAATTAGATGAATTCATTTGTGAATGATGTACACATTGGCAACAAAAGATTATTAAAGAATATGAACCTTGAACACGATTTTGACTCTGAGGGGAACATTTGGGAAGTGGTTTGGTATTAGAGCTGCTCGGTCATTGCAAAAAAATCATCACAATTATTATTTGATTGATTTTAAGCTCACAGTGATTTAACACGTTTACTCACTGATTTGACAACGTCTGCATCACATGCCTTTATCAAACTCAAACACTCTGGACACTTTTAACACTCTGAACACTTTAACAACAAACACTTACATTTACCACACGAGACAAAACCAATGGATAACACTGCATGTGGCACAGTAATCATTCTCCATTATCTTGTTTATATGATTGAGTCAAAATTGTAATTGAAGAGGGCAAAGTGCTGCAAAGGGGACTGCAGCCTCTGTGCATGGGCATTACCAGCTAGGCTATCCGGCTATCCATCTTGCTTTGCTGTCAATGACTATAACAAATGTATGCAAGTTAATGAACATAAGGTCAAATTTACAACAATACTCAGCCTCACCTATTGCTTTTGCATTTGACATTTGGTTATTCATTCAACATCATCCATTACACTGTTTTTTTAACTGTTACTGTATTTGGCAACTGTGATCTTAAATGTGATCTTTAATATATATTGTCTTTTATGTCCTTGTAAAGCACTATGTGACTGTTGTCTGTGAAAAGCACTGAAAAGTAACCACAGTGCTTTCACACTTTTCGAAACATGCAAACCAACACAACACATTGAGTGTCTGCATTCTCTCACAATGTGTGCCTTCAAAACAGGACGTGAATCAATCAAGTGCAATGAGATTAAGGAAGTGCCATTTAACAGGAAATTGCGTCAGAAAACAGTCTTATTGCACCACAGAGGTCGTCTGCTGACAGGCCTGAAGGAACTTGATGTTTTTAAATGAATTTTATTCAACAAGTTCATGTATGCCTATGCTATTAATCAATTAAAACATGTTATAGTTATGAACACATTTAATCTCAATTTTAAATTACTTGGATTTACCGTAACTTTTATACATTTTAGATTACTGGTACTGAAGATTTAGACATTTTAAAATTCTTGTTTCCCTTTTTAAAATTCCAAATTACATAAAATGTTCCGCATTGAATGGCAAAGGGACAAAAGTGTCTTTATTTTTCTACTGCTCTGCATCCAATATTTTGATGTATTTTTTTTTCCTATTTCATTTTCTATGGCTCGCTATGAAAATATAACAATAACTTAAACTTAATGTATGTGTGTGTTTTTTTTCCTCAGGTGATTCCTCAGATCTCCTCCCTGTCCTGGTTTACCACTGTTGTTCCTCTGGTCCTCGTGCTGACAGTCACTGCTGCCAAGGATGCCACTGACGATATCGTAAGCACATTTCCAGAACTCGTCTGGCAAATAATTATCTGTATTGATCCCAAAAGAAATTAAAAGACAATATATATATACGCAAAGGTGTCTTCGGCTTTTAGAAAATATTTAGAGTTCTATGATGTGAATCTGGATATAGGCCTGTTACAAAACGTTAATCATACACACATTGCATTGTACTTGAGTTAAATTTCAACGTTCCCTTTTGGGTCACTTATAGTACAACATTAATAAAAATTAATCATTAAATGGCAAAAACTATAAAAAAAAAAATAAAAAAAAATCAGGTTTGTCCTGTACCCTCTCCAATATCTTTTTGTTTTTTCCCACTTGGAAGAAACGGGTACATTTCATCAAACGCTCAGACTTGATCCAAAATAAATCCAGTGAGAGTTGATGCTTAAAGTTGCTGATAGTTTTATTGCAAATCAAAGTAAACCAAAAAGTATATGTAGTGGCTTGAATGACCTAAAAAACATGCAATGCCTATCTTTAAACATGACTGCTAAGCGTGCTGTCAATGAAGGTATGCGTGGTGACCTGGCTTCCTCCCGGGAGGGCGCACACAAAAAATTGAATTACAAATGAAATGCAAAGAGAAGAGAAGCCTTTTACCTGGAAAAGGGTTAATTTTGGTTGTTTGGTAAAGGTTGTATATTTTTTGTAGCAGTTTATAGCTTTACATTCTCAAGTCCGTTTACATACTCAACATTTTTCCTCTTTAGTTCATGTAAACACTAGTAGACAGGCAGATTAGATACATTATCAAACTATCCCAATGAAGTCAATATAAATTATTTTACAGACATTCACAGATTCTGTGTTTTTCCCCAAAAACATTTTATTCATTAATTTCATTATTGGTGTAAAGATATTTTCACTGAGTTTAACAACCTTCATCCACAAATATCTGTGAATAAGATCACTCCTCTAATCAGTATTACAAAAACAAGTAAGATAATATATATATGAGCTAAAGAGGTAGTCACTCTTATTATATCTCAAGTGTACTAATGGTAATGGTGTAAAAACAATATTTTGTTCAAACTCAGAAAAGCAGACTCAGCACTTTGTGGTCATTTGTGTTATCTCATGCTCGGTGGGAAAAACATCAGCCGTCTCCTGTTCAAAACACTTCACACTGCACTTAGCCCTATGTTATCTCATTTCCACCGTCAAACAAAAACACATATTATTTTGTTAGCAGAAGCTGTTTTCAGGCTTCTCTGTGTCAGATTAAACGCAAAATAACATAATTCAGTCCGTTTTAAGCTTGGTTTATTTCAGACTTGGCTAATAGATCAAATTTGAATATCAACATACAACTGTCCTTCACATTCAACTTGCATTCAGCTACTGTGAGGAACTTGTGGTTTGTGTTGATCTTGGCACTCAACAAAGATGTACGTCGTCTCTCTTTGCTCATCCTGTCTTGTACGTGTGTAAGTCACTTTTTTTTTCATGGAAAATCTCTTCCCGAAGTCTTTAAACATCAAAACAAATGTGTTAGTCACCACGTCTGACACTGACCTGGTCGCAGTGTTTACAGTAATTAAACATTACCATACACTGTAGAAATGATCAATCGTCATGTTGATGGCTGGGTTTGCATTTGAAGATCATAGACATGCTTTAATATTTGAATATTAGCGTCCTTCTGTTTCTCACATGAGCTTTAAGTTAAGTGATTTGTCTCTTTTCTGCTTAATTGTTGCTCAAGAGACTATTTCATCAGTTAATTCTTAAAATTACACCTTAACATGGTGTTTTAGACAAGAATGATGTCAAGGTGGAATTGAAACTTGTTAAGAAATAACAAAAATTCCCCTCAGTCCAGACTCACAACTACAACACACAGGCGACCTCAACTGCTTGTTCACGAGGAAGTCGATTTTGTGTTTTTTTTTGCTTACTGGGAACTGAAACAATCTTGTAGATTAAGTTGTCAAGGTCGTGTGTGTGTGTGTGTGTGTGTGTGTGTGTGTGTGTGTGTGTGTGTGTGTGTGTGTGTGTGTGTGTGTGTGTGTGTGTGTGTGTGTGTGTGTGTGTGTGTGTGTGTGTGTGTGTGTGTGTGTGTGTGTGTGTGGCACACCAAACCACCACAAGGAAATGAGTGCTGCCATGGGTTAAACATTAGCTGGTGGAGGAGAACAGAAGTCCTTTTGTGTGGTAGGGTTGGCCATCCTGAACGTTCCTCTTCTGTCGTTACCCGTGTGCTCCCTGAGTGAGGTCACTGGGTGGGTTCAGGTTTGATTTTGATCTCAGCTCACACACAGAAACTCAACACTGACCACGTATGGCAAGGTGGATGACCTTGCAAAACAAGTGCTGAAATATCTGACTCAAGGGTTAAAAAAGCTGCTGACAAGCTAACACCTACTGAACTATGCAGGACGTTTCAGTGTTTGTTATATTTTGTATTCGATGATATGATGAGAAAAACATTTTTCCCAACCTTTTATCAGACAGAATGTTTCTGTTCCCATTTTAAGGTATTATTTAAGACTTATTCAAAGGCTGTTTTTTATAAAACCGTATTGATGAAGTTCAATGGTTTTGCGTCATTTTAATAATGTTGCTCTCTTTTTTTAACCGTTGTGATTCAAACAACATAACAATTCTCAATCAAGAAGATATTTCATTTGTTCCATATTTAATAAATACAGGCCATTACATTTGGAGCAACACAAAGCGTTGTACATCCTAAAAATCAAAAGGTCAAAGATGATGACATATTTTTATCCCTGGCTTTTGATAATGTACATACAGCACATTCAACACGAGGGATGTAACATAAACCCACTATGTGATATTGATATGACACAGGATGACTCATCAGATCACAATTACAGAAACAGTAATTGGATGATACACAAACTTGAAAGTTTTTTACTTTTGATGGAAATGGAAACCACATGTCCCCACTGTCTGTCTCACAGTCGCCTCTGGGTCTACACCTTGGAAATAAATTAATTAATAGTAGAGACTTAATTATATTGGACTTCTTCTTCGAAACAACAACTAAATTTTCACACATTTTCACCACAGTGTTTCTATGAAACACTTCTAACAGTGTGTTAGTTTGTGTTTGTGACACCTTTGTTAAAAGGAATTTTTTAATTCAATGATTGAAATGAGTTTCACGAAACCTTTTTTAAACCCAGTGTTGTTTCTTTCTGTGTCTTTTTTCCAGAATCGCCACAGGAGCGACAATCAAGTCAACAACAGAAAAGCTGAAGTCCTTATTGATAGAAAGTAAGTTTGGTACTATGCTATGAATCACGGGACGTACACCTGTGCCCATTTACACAAGGTTTTATGTAGCTTTCTCCATGCTTTGTGTTTTTGTAAAGGCACCATCCTTTAACTTTTCTTTATAGGTAGGTGTTCCTCAGGGAATCTGATCAGTTCTGTTAAACCTTGTTCCAAAGAAGCCCTGAAAAGTACCATCAAAGTCATCTTATTTCATGGTTTCAGCTCTAAGGGTGAAATAAACTATTTATAAATCAAGCATTCCCTTAGATATTTGAACTGGCAGACAGAGGATCAACAGGATATATACCAAGTGCTCCCGACCTTCCTGCAGCAGCTTCCTGTGGATGGACTTGAAAGAGCTTTGGGTTATAAAGCACGCAAGGAGAACACTGATGGGTCAAATACAGGAGACTAAAATGAAATGATGAATAATGTGATTAAATACCTAAACATGAGGTCACTCACATTTTATAAATTAATAATCAATTCTAGCCAAGTTGTCCCTCACCAACGCTCAACCACTCACCCACCATTGTTATTTTAAGACTATTTTAAGATTTTAAGACTTCAACTGTGTATTTTGTACTAGATCAAAATATAGTGGGTCGGTGTGCATCTTTGCTCCAGGGTTTGCTCTTATTGGCTTCCCTGAAATATAGTTTATTAAGAACACATTTTACAACAAAGTCAGAAAATGCTTTCCAAAGCACTTTTTTCACCGCTTGTCACACTCACCAATTCACACCACATTCACACACTGATGGCAGAGGCTGCTATGTAAAGTGGCCATCAGTATTAGTAACTCTCATAAATACATGTTCATACAACAGCGAAGAAGCAGGGCGAGCAAATTAAGGGTTAAGTGTCCTGCCCAAGGACACATCAGACATGTGGCTGCAGGAGCTGGGACTCGAAACCCCAACCTTAGATTGATAGACGACAGACTATACCACTGAGTCACAGCTGCCCCGATCACATTCATGATTAATCACATATATCACATTCAGTATTCATAATTTATCACATTATACATACATTCAGAAGCATTTCATGGGAAAATAATCTTATTCCAGCCAAATTTAACAAATCTCTTGCTGTTATTGGCAGACAGATGATACAGGAACATGCAGTGAAGGACGGGGACTAATAATAGGATGCCCTCTGTGGTCAGTTATTATTTCTGCTTGTTTATTTCCTGACAATCCTCAAATAACAGCAGGGGAAAAGAAAACCTTTCTCTGAGCTCTTCAGTACACACACACACACACACACACACACACACACAGTCCAAACATCAACTTTCTAATCTGTTTCCTGTTATTAGACTGCGCAGTGAGAAATGGATGGATGTCCAGGTGGGAGACATCATCAAGCTGGAAAACAACCAGTTTGTCACAGTGAGTCAGCTGAAGAAAAGAAACGCTTCTTCACATTCTATTCTGTTCCCCATGTCCAATTAGACTTCACCCCTATTTATAGTATCATCACAGTGTTTTCATTGTGTGTTTGTGCTACACTTTTATTTGTGATTATTATTATTTTTTTATTTTATCAATCCTTTTTTTTTCTACATGTTTCTAATGTGTGTGCAAAGGGAGTAAATATAGATAGAACATGTTCCTCATCATTTTTGGGGAGACATTCCTATAATCAGTGATTGAAAAAAAGAAAGTAAAGCTATAAGCTACTGTAATGCAAACCTTTTGGCAGTTGTTCAAACAACTAGTAAGATAAGAGAATCCTTTATTGGTGCCCAGAGGGGACATTTAAGATTCATAATAATGCATGCTTATTTGATGCCGTCATTTCAGGCTGACCTCTTGTTGCTCTCAAGCAGTGAGCCACTCAACCTGGTCTACATTGAGACAGCAGAACTGGATGGGTAAGACTGTTTTTTTTATCCAATATGAAGATTCGAGATAACATACCAGTACAGTTAATCATGCAACATGTATTTTATTCCTGTTCTCCTCTTCCTCATCTCTAACACATTTTCTTCCTTTTTCTCTTATTTTGGTCCTTCCCTTCCTCAGAGAGACCAACCTGAAGGTCAGACAGGCCCTGCCCGTGACAGGAGACCTGGGAGAGGATATTGAAAAGCTGGCCGACTTTAACGGTAAGACTATTGTATTACAGGACAACTAACTGCTGGTTTCTGAATTCATCAGCATGTAAGACTAAGAGAGGTAAAGTGCCCCGACTTCCTTTAGGGGTTTTTGGACTTACAACACTATCATAGACATCACCTGGGCAAATTTAAGTTGCATTTAAAGAGCCAAATGCAAAACTAGTTTCTAAAATGTTAATATTAATATGTATGCTCCTGGAGCGTTCTAACTTTTTCTGCAGCTGCTGTGAGCATTAATAGTTAAAGATCTGTTTCCCCTCTGTTCTCCTCAAGGTGAGGTGCGTTGTGAACCACCCAACAACCGCCTCGACCGCTTTACTGGAACACTAACCTTCGCTGGTCAGAAATACCCGCTGGACAACGAGAAGATCCTGCTGCGAGGCTGCACCCTGAGGAATACCGACTGGTGCTTTGGACTTGTGCTATTTGGAGGTGGGACAGACTTATCTCAGACTGGTATAGATAAAAAAAAAAAAAAAGTAGTGGAAATTGTCAACTTGTGAAGATATTAAAAATTGTTTTGGGGCACTGGTTTAGCTTTAGAGCAAGCGCCCCATGTAGAGGGTGTGTACTGTAATCGTCGCACTGGTTGCAGTTTCAACTCCTGATCTCGGTGCTGTTTTGACTGTATCATCGGCCACACTCTCTCCTCCCGCATCTTTCAAGATTTTGCTTAATTCTGTTCATCTTCTGCAGGTCCTGAGACAAAGTTGATGCAGAACTGTGGGAAGAGCACGTTCAAGAGGACCAGCATAGACCGCCTGATGAACATCCTCGTCCTTTGTGTGAGTCTCCCAATTGCTTCCTTTCATCTCATCTCAGGATGGTCAAACATGTAATTATTTTGTTATTAGAGGAATTAAGAAGTCCACTTTTAATTCATCAACTGAGTGGGATTTCATTCATCTCTAAAATGACATCCAGTTTAATCATTTGAACAATGCAGTATAAATGGTTTGCCAATGCGTTTACTGGTGTTTAAGCTCATTATGATATAGGGCCCTAGTTGACGTTCTAAAGTGTGTTGTCCAGGACAGGTGTGTTGTGATTTTGGGTGTGTTCTTCTACAATGTGCTAGTTATGCGGTTCACAATCTGGGTTACCAAAGTTAGCGCATGGCACAAAGTGGTCGTAGTAAGTCCCAGTTCAAGATTACACATGGGTGTGTTTTTGACATGAAAGGAATTAAACCAATAACTGTGAGTAAACCAGTAACTCTGATTCCCTTTAAGAACCAGGTGCTCCTGCTAGCTGGCATGTTGTAATTCCAACTGCAGATTTCAGTCTTTATTTTTAAATAGACTGAAATCTGGCCAGCTCCTTTAACTTCTCACCATCCGCAGCCTTTGAACACACAGAACTCACACGGGACACTATATGAAATAGGTTAGCAGATTTGAGATATTTCCGCAGTCCCACACCTTCAGAAACGATCAGTTCCTTTCCATATTAAAAGAGAAGTGGTAAACAGTTCCACATTAGGTACAGAAATGAATCCTCATTAGTTATTAAAATCTCCAGACAAGCCGACAGGATCAGACATGACCTAACTAATGTTATGATTGCTAAACTTAAAATAAAGGTTGGCTGTAAACATTTATTTACTTTTTTGTCTCTTACCTGGAATCCTTGGCTGTACTCTCTAATGCGTGCGTTTGGATATTGGGGAGTCTGCTTATGAATAAGAGTTATAATAAATCCATCTATCTTTTACATGAGGGAGTGTAAGTTTGTGTTTCTGCGTGTGCTTCTGTGTATATAAGACAGAGTAAGCACAGATGGTGGAGTGCTTGGTGTTGGTCTTGCGGTCTCCGTGGCTTCTGTGCTATTCTATATGAGTGTTAGCACTCCCAGTGAGTGCAATGGGAGTGCTAATGTGCTTCCCTGTGTGTCGGGCGGAGTGGAAGTCTGTTATGAACTCATTTTTATGTACCCATGTCTCTAATATGCCCTCTAAATGGCAGGAACAACATTTCACAACAGACTTTGGTCTTAAGTCTTTAGCATTGTTAAGATAGGAACGCAAACTCACAGCCCTGGGTGCTTAAGTGGGACCGAGCTTCTTTGCTATTTACACAACATGAGCGCTGGGTGAGAAAATGTCAACTGTGTCAGGTGGAAAGTAGAAAATAGTAGTTTCTTGGAGATTTTTCAAATGCTTTTTATTCCTAGAACTTGTACAAGCACATGTTACATTTCATTCATTCCAACCAAAATGATAAAGACAAGAATGGAGTAAAAATCAGTGCATTCATTTTCTGCCTTACTTTTGATGCAGATTTTTGGTTTCCTGGCCTTCATGTGCACGATCCTGGCGATAGGAAACTTATTCTGGGAGGTGAACGAGGGCTCACAGTTCACAGTCTTTCTCCCCAGACAAAATGACAACAAGGCTGCCTTCTCTGCCTTCCTCACGTTCTGGTCCTACGTCATCATCCTCAACACTGTGGTGCCCATCTCTCTCTATGTTAGGTAACAATGTACAGTACAAACATGTTAGGTGTGACTGTAGGTTTTTTAAAGCAGCTTAAATGACATGTAGAGAGAGTGTGGCAGACAAAATGAATAGAAAAGGAGACGATATGCTCGTTCTCATTTTGTTTATCTACATCTCTCTTCAGCGTAGAGATCATTCGATTAGGGAACAGCTTCTACATTGACTGGGACAGGAAGATGTACTACGGACGTAAAGACACCCCCGCTGAGGCTCGCACCACCACGTTGAATGAAGAGCTCGGTCAAATCAAGTACATCTTCAGCGACAAAACGGGAACGCTCACCCAGAATATCATGGTGTTCAACAAGTGCTCCATCAACGGCAAAACTTACGGTAAACTTGGAGACATGACCTAAAAGCTCTTAAGGTGGAACTGTGTCCATTAAAACATGGTTTTAAGTTCTTATAGTTTACTTTTAATTAACCGCCTCCTTTGGTAATGAAGTGAGACAAAGTGAACTGGACCTCACCAATGACTGCAGTCCCCAAAACTCTCAAAGGCTAACTTTTTTTTGTTTTTCAATCAACTTCCATAACCCAAACCGTGTAATATTTATTTTTTACTTAATTAAAACAACTCATTTATAAGTTTAACAGCTTTTTGCATCCCAAACCATATCTGCTTTTTTTATGCTTATTTTTTTATTTTTGTGAGTGTAGAAAGGTTGATGTTAAATGTACCAGACCGCATGCTGCAGATTGATTTGATTACACTTAGTCATTCAAATCTACTTTGGTTGCAGGATTCTTCAGAACTGAGAATTCAACAAAACCATGCACTAAGAAATGTGTGGATAAATACTTTCAAGAGAAAAATACCCTGATAATTCAAAAAAGCATCGATTTGTTCATTAGTTTTTTGAAGGGGTCATTTGGCTCTTGCAGTTTTTAAATCCATTATATAACCATTTGATTTGTGCTTAACATGACAACAGACATGCAGTTCAGATATTTTTTCTCTTTCTCAGGGGATGTGTATGACTACACTGGTCAAAGACTAGAAGTTACAGAGGTGAGTTGGTGATTAAGCAAGTCGTCGCACCTGCTTGGCAAATTTGTTTTACCTTGCTGTGTGAATTTACATAGATCTTCCTTCTGCAACATCCCTGTCTGTTTACGACAGTATCCCTTTATCATCTAAAAACCACCGGACTAAATCCATTCTAAAGTCTTTAACTTATAACTCTAACATTTCTGAACTCTTGTTACCAACTTCTATCTTGTTAAAAATGTTCTCTCACTCTCTTGTAAAAGGATACAGAGAGGGTGGACTTCTCCTTCAACCGGTTGGCTGACCCTCGCTTCATGTTCCATGACCACGCCCTGGTGGAGGCAGTGAAGCTTGAGAACCCTGAGGTCCATGCTTTCTTCAGACTGCTGGCCCTGTGTCACACCGTGATGGCTGAGGAGAAGAGAGAAGGTGAGGGGGGAGTGTTTGTACGTGAGCTTGTGAAGGATGGCTTTGTCTGTAATAAGAAATAAAACATCAACCAGCGGCATGATTTCGGTCTCATTCCAGTAAAAGTACAAATTCCAATGCTTCAGCTCGTCTACTGCTTCAAGGACTACAACCTGAAGCCAAACATGGTAGTGACAAAAACTGCAGCTCCTCAAATGACCACTGGAAGCTGACCTGGCCTACAAGGATCTGACCCAAATGAGAGTTAATACTCATATAGAGCCTAATATAGCTTGACTGAACCCGAAACAATAAACATGTTTTCAGCCAATTAAAAATCCCTTTTGGTCGCTACAGTTTATTCGCTCAATCGTGAAATTTCATTAATTCATACATCTATGTTGTCACACGCTTCTACAGTATATCTTTGTACTGCTTTGTTGTAGGTTTGTAATCTAAAGCTTTTCTTAAAGTCACTGCTTCAAAAATGTTCAGCAACTCAAAGACAAGTGGTAGTTAAAATCTGGAGGAAAATTGAGCCTTCATTTTGTTGTAAAACTACACATTTGGTTAATCTTTATCTATAAAAAAAAAAAAAGCTTTGTAGCAACAGCTAACATTAGCATTTCTCCAAATCCATGTTAACAGTGCTGTGCTTCCTCCAGTGACAGAGGCATTTCTTTTTCTCCCAACAGGTGAGATTTACTACCAGGCCCAGTCTCCGGATGAGGGAGCTTTGGTCACTGCAGCCAGAAACTTTGGCTTCGTCTTCCGCTCACGAACACCAGACAGTGTTTCCATAGTGGAAATGGGACAGCAGTGCAGCTATGAACTCCTCGCTATCCTGGATTTCAACAACGTCCGCAAGAGGATGTCTGTCATAGGTATGAAAACTACATTTTGGGAATAAAGTTTCCTAAAAGTTGTGGTCTTGAGTACAGACTGCCGTCTCTAGCCAGACAAACTGGGTGCATATTTTTGCTTTTTGATCCCTTCTTTTCCTAGTCTTGATCGTCATATTTTTGCTCTCATGTTTCTGTGTTAATACTTGTGTGTATTTGTGTATTTAGTTCGGAGTCCAGAGGGGAAGCTGTCTCTCTACTGTAAAGGTGCAGACACGATCATCTATGAGCGGCTGGATCAGTCCTGCAGCAAGCTGATGGAGGTCACCACAGAGCATCTTAATGTGAGTAATGCGTGCGTGCGTGCGTGCGTGCGTGTGTCCTATAACAGTAAAAATACTTTTCATTCACATACTTTAACCAAAGTGACACATATGGTTGATTTTTAAATTTGCTGCCCTATAAATCCAAACGTTGTATTCTCCAGTGTTCTCCTCCTGTTTCCTTCTAACTGGCTGACAACTAACTGTTTCTCTGGATATTGTACAAAGGCTCACTGGTGTGTCTACAATTGACTCCTCAGAATTGGACTGGGAGAAAACTGTCAGAGGATTTTTTTTTAAAAAACATAAAGAAAACCTGTGTTTGGGTTTGCTTTCACAGGTCATATGGAGACTAGAACATTCAATTAAAACTGTTTCATAACCAGTATAAATCATAACATTGTCTTTAAAGGGGCTCCTTAGAGAGTGGGGTGCTGTAGTTTTTTCTTAATGTAACTTTAACTGGAGAATATTTAGCATTTTGTTTAGCACCAAAATTGTCCTGAACAAGATGTATTCATCGTTCATACATCAGGTGTGTGTGTGTGTGTGTGTGTGTGTGTGTGTGTGTGTGTGTGTGTGTGTGTGTGTGGCAGGACAATTGTATATATTGGATTGACCCTGCTAATTTAGGGGGTTTAAATGCTTACCTCAATAGTTCTTGATCAAATACAGGAGTAAACTCAAGCATGTTAAAAGACTCAAATGTTCTGTTCTGTTTATGTTTGTGTTATACCTCCATTCTCCGTCTCCTCTGAATTTGCCTACTTATCTCTTCCCTTCTCTTTATTACAGTTTTCCTTGTTCAGTTTATGTTTATGAGAAAAACACTGATTATCTCCTGGCTGTCTGTTTGTGTTCCCCTGTCATGTAGTTTATTAACCTCTTTCTAAAATGTACACAGCTGGACACATGATTTAACTTCTGTTTGTGTTTACACCTGCCTGTGAAGGGTCAATCCATATAAGTATTTGCATGCTGATCTGCAGGAGTTTGCGGGGGATGGCCTGAGGACTCTGGCGCTGGCCTACAAAGACCTGGATGAGGAGTATTTCAACCAGTGGAAACAGCGCCACCATGAGGTCAGCACAGCTCTGGATGGCCGAGAGGAAAAACTAGACGAGCTGTATGAGGAAATCGAGAAGGATCTGCTGGTAGGAGAAGAAGCCTCATACTGCTACAGTACATTTATAATACTTTCATCATATTCAGAACATGTTGATTTTTGTGCTTCTGTCGTCGTGTAGCTGCTCGGAGCGACAGCCATAGAAGACAAGTTACAAGACGGAGTTCCTCAGACTATTGAGCAGCTATCCAAAGCTGACATCAAAATCTGGGTTTTGACAGGTGACAAACAAGGTATTTAACACAAGAAATTATGTTTTTGTTCACATATATTAAAACATTTGAGGCTGTTCTTTTCACAGAAACAGGTGTGAAAATGCTTTGTCATGTCTACTAAATCCGAGTCTAAATCCATTGCCTTACTTGACTCATTGTTTAACTTTTTTAAGTGATTGGCAACCCTAGACTATTTTACAACTTGTGCAGATGTCGACACAATGACCAAGATACTTTATATGTAGAAGAAGCTTGTGTAAATGCATCAGACAGTTTGGAGGCTAGATATCTGTGAAGGTTCTCAGTCACCCAGGTCATGGTATTTCAAGACTTGATCCAAAAGCATCTGGACATGAGTCAAGTTCTTGAAGATATTTTACCTCCTTCTTGACGGCTTCCTCAGTTCTAAACTGACTGGTAGTAAGAGGTAAAAAAAAAAAGAGAGAGCTAGAAATGAAATAACAAATACATCTTATAATAGAATTAATAAAAATGTCAAGCTCATTCATCCGGCTTTTTTAGAACTAAAGAAGCCCTCGGAGGAGAACGACGGACAGATAGATTTTAGTGTCTGTTCCACCAGTGACAAATTTTCCTTTGACAAGACTAAACAATAAACACATCTTCTAAAACACAAAGTAAAGGCAGCACAAAAGAGCACAAAAAAAAGGTAACCAAAACTTTAAGCTAAGTCCAGTTACCTTTTGGATCAAACCTTGGGACCTTTGGATTTTCTGATGTTTTCATTATGATCTTTTTAATGGCACACTTTGATGACGCATGAGGTTTTGTAATAGTCTTTATTCAGGTCTGTAAGTTTGTTTTTGTCAGAAGAACTATTGCATTAATTCAGATACTGACAGAAAGGTAATGCAGAATCATTGTTTGATAGTAAACATTGAATTTATTGTTTTTCTACACTGGTGTTGGTTATAGTATTCTTACTGTCGTGGATTGTTTGTGTTGCAGAAACTGCAGAAAACATCGGGTACTCGTGCAACTTACTGCGTGAAGAGATGAATGAGGTCTTCACTGTCTCGGGTAACTCACCGGAAGACGTTAAAGAGGAACTAAGGTCAGAGAAAGTTCTCAAAAACACTTTTTTACCACAACAGAACAAAAGTAGTTTGAATCATTTTTTGTCAGATGCACAATAATTAAGTTCTTGTTTTTACAACGATCTCTGTAGCTAATCTTAAACTAAAGGGACACAAGTAAATCATAAGAATAACGTGAAAATTACAAATAAATTCAAATACATAAAGCCAAAGAAGTTAAATCATGTAAATAAACGACAATATGTTTCGTAAAAAAAAAAAAAAAAAAAAAGAAACTTGTCTTTTTTTACCAGCTTATTGTGTAACTTCCTGTGCAATTCTCCATGTTTATTTTCTTGGTGAGCAGAAATGCACAAACCACCATGAAATCAGTTGTGGAAGAGGATTCAGTGTTTCTGCCACAAGGGACTCTGGTTAATGGTCCTAAAGTGATCGCAGATGAGTTGGTGAACGGAGAGTACGGCCTGGTTATCAACGGACACAGTCTGGTGAGTCTGTGTCTTTTATTATTTGGCTTTCTTATTACTCAGATTGACCTGGGAAAAGGTGATATCTTTATTACACAGACAAAAACCTTTAAGAAATACAGAATAGCTACTGTTGCTGCTGCTGTTGTTGGCATTGTACAGTTTAGATGTTACATTTTAGGCAGTTATACAATGTTTCATCTCATTTATATTCCCCCTATGTTTCGTTTCCCTCAGGCTTATGCCCTGGAGCACAGCCTGGAGCAGGAGTTTCTTAAGACGGCGTGCATGTGTAAGGCAGTGATCTGCTGCAGAGTCACTCCTCTGCAGAAAGCTCAGGTGGTGGAGCTCGTCAAGAAGTACAAGAAGGCGGTCACACTGGCAATAGGAGATGGAGCCAACGATGTCAGCATGATCAAAGGTATCTTCAGCATGACAGATTTAAGGACTTAATGTTGGATTGTTTTTTTTTCCTATGAGGAAACTCATCACTAAGGGAGGTCAAGTGCTTTCATTAAGATGATATACACTTAAAACTGACTTCATTTCAAGCACAAAGTTGGAGACAGAGAATGTTTGAGCAACTGGTAAAAACACTGGACCCAGATATTCTTCTTGTTTTTCATTGGATCAAAGAAAGAGCTATATGGTGAGAGACTGTTGGACCAATATACGTCAGCTGAACGCAAATGTGTTTTTAATTAATTCAATTTTGTCTCTGGGCCTCCTTTTTAGATGTAAGTGTTGATTATTTATTATGCTGATGATAAGGTTGTTTCTGACGCCCCCTAGTGTTCAACATTTGATTTGAACCTCTTGACTGCAAAAAAAGTCTCCAAACACTTTCCATTCTTTCATTCATTCTCCCTGCCTTTGTCCATGCAGCGGCTCATATAGGTGTGGGGATCTCAGGTCAGGAGGGCATGCAGGCAGTTCTGTCCAGCGACTACTCGTTTGCTCAGTTCCGATTCCTGCAGCGCCTACTGCTGGTGCATGGCCGCTGGTCCTACCTGCGCATGTGCAAATTCTTGCGCTACTTCTTCTACAAAAACTTCACCTTCACCTTTGTTCACTTCTGGTACGCCTTCTTCTGCGGCTTCTCTGCACAGGTGAGACTGAGAGACACTGGCTTTTATTTTTGTTGCTTAGTACCTGATTAATTAATGATAGAGATGAATTAGACATAATACATACAATCTGTAACTGTGCACCACAAAGTCCCAGGAAACTATTGAATGTCTTTATTGTATTCAAGAATAAAAAATGCAAAAGTTTAAAAAGATGTTCTGCTTCTGACTTTTTTTCAGACCGTGTATGATGAGTGGTTCATAACACTCTACAATCTGATGTACACAGCGCTACCTGTTCTGGGAATGAGTCTGTTTGATCAGGTAACTGTTCTGTGATGCATGTGTGTTTTTATGTATTGTGCCAAGGAATGAGAACTGTTAATAAACTCCATTTGACTGCCTTGCATGCAAATAAAAACAGTTGTCCCCTGCTGGCCATTAGGAAGAATGTGCTCCCTATGGCTACAATTTTCTAAACACAATAGCTGCATCTTCTTATTTCAGTCTAGGAGCTCAGTTATACAAGCCTCAAGTCTTTGTCTCCCTCTTCTGGTCAGGATGTGAACGACATGTGGAGTTTCCAGCATCCTCAGCTCTATGTTCCTGGTCAACTCAACCTGTACTTCAGCAAGAAGACCTTCTTCAAGTGTGTCCTCCACAGCTGCTACAGCTCCTTGGTGCTGTTCTTCATCCCCTACGCAGCCATGCATGACACGATGAGGGGTGATGGGAAGGACAGCGCTGACTATCAGTCCTTCGCTCTCCTAACACAAACATGTCTGCTGTTTGCTGTCACCATCCAGGTATGAGGGGCTTCTGGATTATCTTGTAATTTTGCATTTTGCTTGTATTTATTTTTTTAAACTACATTTTTTTTCCCTCTGTGTTTGTAGTTGGGGTTGGAGATGTCTTACTGGACAGCTGTGAACACTTTCTTTGTGTTGGGCAGTCTGGGCATGTACTTTGCAGTCACGTTCACCATGTACAGTAACGGCATGTTTCTCATGGTGCCGCCAGCCTTCCCCTTTATAGGTGAGTAGTGAATGCAACAGTTGACAGGAGATTCTGTTTCCCTTTTTTTTTTTCAGTGTTGACATACATGTCTGCTCCTTTAAGTTCTTTGAACAAAACCCTTCCAGAGTACAGGTGGCAGCAAAGTTCATATGACAAGAATTACGATACCAAATATGGAATCTGAATTAAGTTTAGTATCTTAGCCACTAAGCCAACATCATATTGTATAGTCCTGTATAGACATTCTGTATAATACTTGTGTATGTCTGTGCAGGAACCGCCCAAAACTCTCTGAGCCAGCCAAATGTTTGGCTGACGATCCTCCTCACCTCCATTCTGTGTGTTCTTCCTGTGGTTACCTACCGTTTCCTGTTCATTCAGCTCTGCCCCACTATCAATGAAAAGGTACAGGCTGGAACAGAACTATTCTATGCTCAACACTTAATTGCACTTGCATGCTAAGATTCAGCTGCACTTGTTATTAATGAATTGATTTTAAAACTCAAACCTTTCCTTTGATTTGATTTTCAAGAAACTGTTTTGAAATAGAGTTTTTTTATTTATTGTTATCAGTCCTTTCTGTCAGACTGATCTTTAACTATTAGTTAGGAGCTTGTTTGGCATTCTTTTACATGGGCCACTTTGGTTAAATGCTAAAATTATTGACTAAAAAAACACTTTGCTCAATTTGTAGCCTGCAGCTTACTTAATAACTAAATGGCAATCCCATTTACACCCCTGAAGATTATGAGAACCTAAGGAATATCCTCAAAAAGAAATTAAAAGATGACAAAGTAACTTTTTTTTATGTTCAACTATCTTGAAGAGGTTTAATTTCCATCCATTTACACAAGTGTAATATGAAGGGGGATATTTTTGGTGATTCACCTTTGATAATATTATTTTCTCTATTTTGAATGTTTCATATCAAGACTGCAGTAAAGTAGACCAAAGATAGACTTGTTGTCAATCAGGCTTTGTAGACCTGAATAAAATTACCAAATACATCTCCAGAGTAGTTCAGAAAGTATACCTCCATCAAACATTTTCACTTTGTCACTTTCTGCCCAAACTTTCAGGTGATGTTCAAGGTGAGACAGGCCAAAGCCACGCCTCCTCCTCCACCTCGACGTACCCGCATCCGCCGTACCAGCTCACGGCGCTCTGGCTACGCCTTCTCGCACGCACAGGGCTACGGGGACCTGGTTACATCAGGGCGATTCCTGAGGCGGCCTGCGGTGTCGCGATCTTCAGGTTTCACCAACATTGGTCGCACAACCACTGGCTTCAGTCCCATGGGACGATCGGCAGGGTACAGCCCGACTGGACGGCCACAGAACACCAAGGCGCCAGATGTGGAGGTGACGTCGCTGCAGATGTACAGGACATTCAGAGATCCAGCTCTCTGATAGTAACATTCTGGTTGGAGATGATCTAGGAGAAGGATTACGACAAGAAAGTGAACTTTTTCGGTCTGTCTCGCATCTGCAAAGTCTCCAAAGACAAGGTTTGAAAAAGACAGGACATTTTTTTGCTCCAGGCATTTTATTTTTAGATATTTTAACAAAGGGAACTACACAGGAAGTGTTCATGTGGGCGTGCATGCAGAGCCAACACATGAGAGGTTTCTTACGCTAAAAAAACTGTAACAGGGTGTTTCTTTTTTTTTCTTTTTTTTTAAAGGAGCTACCACAGTGAGACAAAGTGTCATCATGTTTACAAACTACCAGGACTTCATTACAGTCCAGATTCACAGAAGGACTTTGTACAAAGGAAATAATCAGCAAAGCCATTTTATATGGGAATATATTTATATTATACTTTGAGTGTCTTTTTAAAGCGTTATGTTCACCTATCCTAAAATCTGTACAGCCAGTAAGCACTTTGGGAGAAAACTGAATGTTTGTAAGATTATGAATGTGTAAAACTTAACCCTACAAAAAAACCTCTCCTCAGGAGGAGATATTGATTTTTGAAGCAGGATTAAGCATTTTTAACAGTTGGACATCTTCATTTGTTTTTGTTTTTTTTACTATCTGAGTTTAAAAAGTATTTCATGCAACTTTAATTGAAATTAGTATATATGAGGGAACATGTGCTGTTTTCAATTTACATTCTATAGAGGAATATTAGTACCATGATGCAATGATTTTTTCTCTTTTTCTTTTTTTCCTTTTTTATACACGGGTTTATGGTCGATTTCATATTGGCTTAAAAAATATAAAATGTATTTTTTTACAGATAAGGGGAAAAAAACATTTGCAAGATCTCCATGCTATAAGCACAAAAGACAACTTGGAACTAAGACTGTAAGGTTTTCTTTACAGACCCAGATTTGGATTTTTGCCTGATGATATCTAAATTTCCTTAAGAGTGACTTCCTTTTTTTTGCACCTCAGTGTTTCATAAATGCACCTTGAGTTACATCTTCAAGCCAAAGTACTGTAAGCATCCCCATGGTTGCAATTGAAGGGGCGGGGGCAGTCCGAGCAACGACCTCGGACGAGGACCCTATTGTATCTGTAGGAGTTATTCTTATTTTCCTTTGCACAAATGAATCGCTAATTTGGGGATTTTAACGTGCATGAAAACTCACAATTTTTGTCACTCACAAGTGCGAGGAAAAGTGGCTCAGTGGCGCCCCCTTGAAATGTTCTAAAATTCAGCCACTCGCTACGATTTAACTTACATGCACATTCATTATTTTGCATGTTAACAATGCCAATACCTACAAAAAAGCCTCCTAACTTCATGGTGAAATGTCTTCAGGAAGCGTAATTTTCACCATTTACAGAGTATCTGTATTTGAACGCACTTGCCTGAGGGGATGTGACTATGCTAGGCTGTAGGCAAACCTTTTGTTTATCCACTTTTTCAGTTGCTGTAGGGAAATCAACCAGATCTACCTGTATTGTGGGGAGGTTGATCATACTGAAAACACACTACAAATTTGACAGTGTGATCTTTTAGCTCATTAAGAGGCATATTTGGGTTCATTAACAGGTTGAATAACTGTAATAATGTATAGTGACACATCTTCATTTGTGTTATTGCTTCAGCAAAAGTTTGCTTTTAAATATCTGAAATCAGACTGAATGACTGATCCTTGGCTGTTACTGTATGTGTCTTATTTCCAACATCTCCTTCCTCCAGTGTTGTATCTGCTCACTGACAGTAAGATATAATGTAAAAGACAAAACAAGAGCTGCTTTAGTATTTGAAAGGAAATGACATTTCATAATTATGCAAATCAGAGTCAATGACGACAAGAATTCCTGAAGGAAGAATAGGGTGTTTAAAAAAGATTTTATGCAACCATGTCAATGATTTTAAGTAAAAACAAGAAACAGGGTATTTTGTGAAGTCATATTTGTCAGTGGACAGCTGAAGAGGTGCTCCTGTGGGTCTTTGGGGTCCCTTCAATTTATTATGAAGTATGTGAATGTTTGAAAAAATTTGTTTTTTAAAGTGTAGAATTGGAACGTTTCTTATTTGGTTATTGCCTCGATTAGTTTTCTTCTAAAGGCTTCATGATTTACCAGTGACAATGTTTCTATGCAATGCTGGATTTGCTGTTTCCACTCAACAGTTTTTCCACTACAGTTGAATTTAAAACCATCAAGACGGCTAATAGATAATGCGTCGAAGCATCTGTTTTGTTTGGATCTGAACAAACACATGTTTCCAAGAGTTGAATGTATTTCTCATCTTACAGCGGGGAACCAGCAATTATTTGAAGCCCTTTTGTGTTTTCTCTTAAGTACAATTTTTGCTCAGAAAACAAAAACTCGTGCTGGATGACAGTGTGGTGACACTGGTTTTACTAAGTGCATTATTATCAACAAAGTCGGAAACGTGAAGTATTCTTTAAGAAGATATCTTAGGTTTGAAAATGAAAAGAAACATTTACTGTGTGTCGTTAAAACTATTGTACTCGTTCTTTTAACCCACACAGTGGACATTTTCCTCTGATGTCACAGTCAGGCAGAGAAGCGAAGATGGTGTTATAATGATTTACTGCTGTGTTCAGGGTTGCACTTCCTATGTATAAACATAGGAAACCTGGAAACTTTTTATAATATCACATGCTTCTTGATTGATCAGTGGTAGAAACGATAATGGATAGTGGGAATTTGGAGGGACAATATATATATATCTAACCATTTAACATATTTGATTACCCATTAGCTGAAATTAGACACCAGCTAACATTAGCATTCAACGTATGGAAGCCCCTTTGGACATGCATGCCTACATTTAATTTTAAAACTTTTTCCCATGATAAGGAGTACATTTGGGTTGTTTTCTAAAGTGTTGCCTCATTACTTTTTTTAAGTCAGGATAACAACTCGGGTATCCTGTGCAAACAAGTTAATATTAGTCATTTTCTCGAAATCAAAGAAAAGGACGTAAATAGGTCGAGATCATGAAAAAACAATCAGAAATCAATCGTTATCGGAAAACGGAAAAATATGGATGGATGTATGTCCGCTCAGGGCTTCTGTATTAGAACAGTTCTTTGCCAACTTCACCGTTAATAGATGTTATTTGACCATGTCATATTTAAATCATTATCCTTTTTGATAACAGCATTTGGCCCTCACCCTGAGTAACATGTCAAAGGAAAATGCCCACTGTGAGAATATTCTAAATTGAATCTTCATCCAAGTGTTTTGTTTTGATTGTTGTTAATGTTCAAATCAAGCTCTCTTTAATGTTTTCTATCCCAGTTTTAGCATTCTCATGACTGATTTACAAAAGCAATTTGTCAGCAACAAATACACACACGAAACACAGAAGGTGATTTTTAGATATATAGAATGGAGCCTTTAAATCACATTAATCTCAGCTTTGCCTTCACCATAAATGGAAAACATATTAATCACCGGAGGACAAGGAAAGTTTATTAATATGGCAAATTTCATCACCATGGTAACTCAAAGTGCTTCACACAAGACATTAAAAGCATAACGACAAAGGGAAACAGAAACATTCAAATAGAACATTTTAAAAATCACTAAAACAGTCAGTTAATAAAAAGGGGGCCACCACACAGTCCACTTATGTGTTGTAAATATTTCCCCACTTGTTCTGTGGTACTTTCTCAAGTGAATTGTAGCCACAGTTGTGTTTATAATAGATAGGTTACTCTTTTATCTACAGCCCTGAAGACTGAAACTATTACATGATGCATTGTTGATGTTTGACACTGCTCCTCCTGATAACAGTTTTTACTATATTTTCTACTTTTTACTGCAATAAAAAGATCTTAAAGATCAACATGTTTTATCTTTGCTGTTTACTCTTTTTGAAGATTTGTCGTTTTGCGTTATATCGTTGATTTAATATGCAAAAAATATATTGTGGATACTTAATGCAATTTTAGTGATATAAATATGTTTGAGATGCACAAATCACAGCCTCTAAGTGCTGATGAACTAAAATAAATCTTTTTTGTTGATTTATCTTAATTTTGTGTCCCAGCCTAAAGCAGACACAACCCACAGCAATCCAACTATTGCTGTCTCTAATGAGAAAAAATGTTTTGTTCTGTAAAACATCCACACCATACAGGGCTTTGTGAATACAGTTGCACAGTTTTTAATTGACAAACAGGTGTCAAAAACATGCAAAAATCACATCTTTGGTTCATCATTTATTGATTAATGTTGCATTTTTTGGGAAATTCTCAAAAACTTCAACTTTCAACTGCTTTCACTGCAGCTGGTTCGTGTCCGATATGCCATTTTATTTTTTCAAAATGCAAAATGATTTGGTTCAGCTTCTTCCCTAAGTTGGTGGTCAAATTACTCTGAAAGCTCTGAGTACATTTAATCCTCTACACTGGCAACAGAATTGAAGTTACAATAGTTTTTTCATTTCAATGAAAGAAGCTTCAACATGCACTGTCTTTACAATTGTAATACATTTTTGTTGTCAATCATTTTCAGATTCTCTCTCAGTTATAAATCATGTTGGATTCTAGCTGCTGTCAAAAATCTCACACAGTATCTTTACAGTCAGTGTGCCATCTGAAGAAAAGCAGAGCAAATCAGATATGATGGTAACTTCATTTCACACTTCTCCTTGACTGGGCATGCACAATACATATCAAAGTCATAATGAGTCTCAGAGAGGGGCCCTCCTGTTCTAATTTGTAAAGTTTGTCTCAAAGTAAGTCAATGGGGGCAAAATCTGCCTCTTTCTCAGAGCATGCTGGGAGAGGCTCTGGCCCCCCCGCAGCCTTATGAAGACAAAGGCCTGATAGATAAATGGACGGATGGTTTCCTAGTGAATCATTTACACCCTGAGATTTTAAGAATGATTATGGATTGATTGATGATTAAGTATTTCTGTAATGTTTTGTTTCATTTTAAAAGAGAATAAGAACATTTTGGTATGAAAAGTTTTGCTTTGTGCTGAACATCTTTTCAAAAATAAAATAAACCAAAAATAAAATCATTAAAATTAATACAAGCCTACAGGACAAAAATGCCAGTGGGCACTATGACTCAGAATAAAGATAAATAACTCCCCAACATTGTTCAAGACTGTATACATAAACACAACTACAACCAAATACAACTGTAAAATGCATCTGAATGACGTTCTAAAAATATAATAGAATTAAACTTTTACATTCTACCCTCTTAATCATTTTAAATGTGAAAATGGTCTTGCATTTCGCCCGCTCACATCAATCATCTCATCCAAATTAATACAAGAAAAATAATAACGATTAATTAAACCTAAATGATCGGCTTAGCTGTAATAAAATTAAAAAGTGAAAGCTTTGCTGCCCTCCTGCGAGCGAAAACAGCGGCTTCAACTGACAGACAACGATGCTGCATTTAAGGCACGTGGTGACACGAATTTTACGGCTTCTTTTTTTTTTTGTAAACGCAGCTTTGCTTCAAAATATCTCTAGGCAAACACAAGGGAATGAATTAGCCTTGTCAAGCATATACACTCTTTTTTTTCTTCTATTATTGTCTGGTGCGTGCATTTAACTCGCGGTCAGTGCCGAACTCGAGTCGCTCAAACGCAGATTCACAAATTACCCATTAACCTGAACACACCACTTGCCTTACATTGTTAAACGCTGATTTCTCCCGTTCAAGCCAGGAGCATTTTGTCTTCCGTGAGCCAAACCGGGGTCACAGACACCCGCAAAAAGCTTGAAACCTCGTCTTCGTTTGGCAGCAGGGCACACACTGAAAAAACTACGAGGTACTTTGCATTGTATTCATTATATTCGTCTTAGTTTTGGGATTAAGAAGGAGCCAGAAACGCTCGGAAAACAGGTTTCTGAATATTTCATTCTGCAGAGGAATATACAGGAGGCGAGTCGTGCTGATAATTAGGAAGAAGATACGCGGTTTGGCTTTTCAATTGTGTTTTTTTTTTTTTCTCCAGGTGTGACTTCTTTTACGTGTTTCGGTTACGGGGTTATACACCTGTCCGGGTCCACTGGGGTCATTTTCTGAAGATAGGCGAACGATATGACCATTCAACAGTCAGACTAACAGGAGGAGGAGTAGGCTAAAACGTAGCGTGTTTCCCATGGCTACACCAAGCTTTCTCAAGGGCTGTTTGTATTTCTAACCAGCCTGGGGCGGGGGGGTTACTACTAAGATACTACTTTTATCTTTAAAATTCGCTGCTGTTATGAAAAATAACTAGAACTTGTGCTGGGAAAACAACAGAGATGGTGAGGACAGGAGTCGTGACGTCGCCCTGGAGGTGCAGGTTCATCTTTCCGTCAGGTTTCCTTTTGTTGACCATAGTGATGTGCAGGTCCTGAACAAGTCGGCTCAACGAACCGGCTCCTTTAATTGAACGAGGGGAGCCGGTTCCTCCTACAGGAGTCAATTATTATTATTATTATTATTATTATTATTATTAACACGTTTGTTATTAACTAATTCAAGGCTCAATAATCGTTAATCTATTTACAAAGAATTATAAATGTTATAAATGGGGAAAAATGTGAAACATCAAGGATTTTTTAACAGAGCAATACAATACTGTATGCATTAAGCTATAGGCAATATGAGCAGAAACATTATTATCAAAATACTTTTCTAAATTGCTCAATATCAATTTTTTTTTATCATTATTTATGACTGAGGTTGCTGGTTGATTGTGGGATTTAAACTTATTTGCTGTGAATTGTGTTTATAATTCACAAGGGTTGTTGTTGTTGTTGTTGTTGTAACAGGATGAGTCAGAGGTCTCCTCCTCTCCAAAACAAACACACCCATAAAATAAACCAGTAAGCACTTAATTAAGACGTTTTGTCATTTTTCTTTCTCTTTCTGGACATTAAGTTAGGATCCTACCGAAGCCCCCGAAGTCCCAAAAAAATAAAAAATAAACAATATTGTGCGCACAATTTATTATGTTGTGATAGATATCGATCATCAAACTAACCCTTTTTTTTTTACTTCTTGAGACTTCAGGGGCTGTGTAGGATCCTTTTTTGTTCATTGTTCATAACCTGAATGTGGTAAGTTTAAAAAAAAGGAAGTGATACAAGAGCAAATACTCGAATTTTGATTTAGTTAAAAAAAAAAAATCCAGAGCTGGTTTATTGGTTCCAGCTTTTTGAGAGCTGAAAGAGCCGGGTCCCCTGAGCTGGCTTTCTGAGTTGAGCAAAATGATCCGGCTCACAGAAAAGAGCTCAAATTCACATCACTAGTTAACTGAACACACACACCTTTTTATCCTCAAACATTTGCTGCAGTCAGGTTTCATGGCTGATGTCTAATTGTTTTCTGTCCTCCTTTTATTCCTTTTTTTTTCCTCCACTTGCTTGTGGAAGATCTAACATGACTTGGTGGATTGTTTGGCTGTAACCCTGCCTACACCAGAGGCTGCTGCTGGTAGGGATGGTGCCGCTGTGAAGAACCAGTGTGCCGTTTCAGAGTGGAACGGGGGGACGACATGCCTGTTGTGGGGAGTAAAGGGAGGAAGTGCCCAGACAACATGGCTGTTTTCAGCCCGGAAAATGTTGAGGATTTTTACGAGATTGGAGACGAATTGGGGAGGTAAGTTACACTGAGCTTTATCTTTTTTCCTAATGCATATAAACTTCCCCTTTTCATGGTGTGACCAGTGCTATTTTACACCTCTAAGGTAATATTTAGATGTAGGTACTGCATCTATACAAAGTGGGTTTAAAATACTCCTGAATATGTTTTTTCATGTCATTCTATACCCACAACTCTGCATGGGTTTAGTCCATATAAACGGTGACTGATGCATGTCTCCCCCAAGCCAGCATGAATGCACGCACAATGTGCCTCTGACTGGGAGTATTCCCCAGGACATGCCTCCCCCCTCATTGAGTGCATCTTGATAGGCTCTGATTAATGCAGTCCATAATGCAGTATTGTCAGTGATGAAGAGGTTAGCGTCTGTTACTGTAGCTGTAGCTGCCTCCTCCTGGAGATTTATTGCAGGACGAGGCAGACTGGATCATTGTATGTCTTTTTATAGGAAGAGGATTTGCATCGTGCGGCACAGCCTGCCGTCATTTCATTCATTCAGTCTGTGCTGTGAAAGGTGACAGCTTGACTGTGGCAATAAATGTGTGGAAAGTCGGTTAAACTTCTAAGCCCAGTGGCCACATTAAGCTTAAAGATACAGTGATGTCCTTGATTGAATGTGCTTTCCTGTTACATATGAAACCAGTGTGTAAAAAAAAAAAAAGAGACACTTAACTGTTGCCAGGATTTAAACTGTATGACATAACAGCAAATGTAAAATTACACAAGAAAGGATGACTTTATTCCCGAAGGGAATGGCAGAGTCTTCTCAAATGACTGTCAGAAATATGGGATTGGATCTCTGCATATTTCATCAAAGGCACACATGTCCTCCATCTTGGTAATAATCAACCAGTGGTTTTGCCTGTCTGGCAACACTACTTCTTCTTTTAGCACTGACATTCAGGCACTGTGTGGGTGAGCTGAAGTGGCTGTAGCTGCTTCACTGTGCTACTTTGGTAATAGAGACGTTTGGCAAGCTTTGTGTAATGGGATAGAATTTCTGTCTGGAGGTAAAGAGATATGAGTGTGACAGAGTCTTGCTTGGTTGTTATCTTAAAAAAAAAACAAGGTCCATTCTCTTGGCTTGTCTGCCATCATGGAGTGACAATCATGAAATGTTTAACATTTGTGATGTAGAAATGTGGTCAACATTTTAAGTCTCTATTGTGTAAGAAAAACATCCAGTGCTACCAAAGTAGAGTGTTTCGCAAAGTCTATTTTTGGAAGGATGTCATGCCCTGACAAGAAGAAAGATATTATGTATAATTTTGGAGACATCTGAAGGCTAAAGCATTTATTTTTTGATACCTTGTCCTATTTTTAAAACTCCATAATTAATTTGATATTCAGCCTATATGTAAAACTAAATATCGACCTGTAAACGGAGATCATCATCTGTTTGAGGTTGACATTTTTGCATGGGCAAAAAAAACAAACATGTTCTTAATCTACAGGTAGAAGTGAACTCTTGGCAATGTCTTGGCCATTTATTAGTAAGTGTGTAAATTGATTTTTGTAACCAACATATCTTAGAAGCCAATTCCTCTTATTTAATTTTCTTAGATTATTTGTTTTGCAGACCCTTATCATTATACAGCATCAATAGTTTTTAGTGGAATTGAAAACAGTGATGCAAAAACCTCATTGTCACTTAACATGAATCATGATCACAATTGTAACATCTGTCAATTGTAATTGTGACATCTGTCATTATATTGCTGCTGACACTTAATAATGTGACTGTATTGATTGGCCCATGGGTGACAGCAGGGCTTTAGGCTCACCTTTCAGTGGGCTTACAAAGAATTGAACACACTGCTGATTATCAAACCTAACAACAGGACATCTGCTCATGAACATGTGTATTATTTAAATATTGATGTATCTGGCTTGGATGATTGGATCACTAAACATGGAAGCCTTGAAGAAAATGAGTGGTTTCGTTAAGAAAACAGTCCATTTTAGCATGAACAATGTCAGATGTGAGTATCTCTTTTCATTAGTCAGATTAAAGAAGTATTACCTGCACCGTACTGTAATGCCTTGCAAAAGACAGGGAGGCTGTTACTCTGACTGTACATCAGGCTTGACTCTCGCTTGAATTGGAATGAGTCCCATTTGGTTGGGTAAATGGGAAAATGGAAAATCACCCAAGCAGAAATGTTATCCTTCCACTGATACAAACACTGCTGTGGTTAGCTTGCATGGCAGAACCAAAAGCTGCTGAAGTGAGCTTGCAAGCAGCTTAATGAGGAGGAGAGTGTGGCAGAAATAATGCACCTGCAAGGATTCAGTAAAAACAGCCAGAGGGGATGTTTAAGGGTGAGGTGTACAGCCTGATCCTGTCTTTAAGCCACTGGAATGACCTGCTAAAGCCTCTCAAGTCGTCCCTACCCAGCATGATTTATTCATCAGACCTCTAGTTAACCGCCTTATGACCTTGACCAGTCTTTCTCTGCCTTGTCAGTGTGGTGTGTGTAAATGTAGGATAACCAGTAAGAGTTTTTTTTACTATCCCAAGGATAGTAATGACTCTGCACCAGAGGCAAATCAGAAAACTGGATTTAGATGTGCAAAGTGAACTGTCATTGCTGGAGCTATGGTGGGAGTAGCTGTTGGTCCTCAGGAGAAGAGTCAAGTTGTTAGCTACAGAGCTGCGTTGGAGAGTGTGAAAATATCTCGTTAGTGAATCAGTGGTCAAATACTCCTTTTTCAAACAGGGTCTAAAGAAAGGCCAATTCGCCTGTGTTTAAAGGGCTCCTTATAGAAATGGCCTCTGCTGCTGGTGTCCTCCAAACACTTCCCTCTAATAAGCAAAGCACCGGTCAAATCTGTGCCCAGTCAGTCTCTTATTGCCTCATAGATTGGCAGAAAATGTTCACTTCAGATTGGATATCATAGGGGAATTATTACAGCCTCTAGCATCTCAAAGGATCTCCCATTTGATACCGCCTCAATATGAAGAGATGGAAGAAGCATCATTGAAGAGTCTAAGGGTTTTGATAATGTTGGTGTTTGGTAACATCTGTCAACCTGCCAAAATAAAACACTCTGTCAGGGCTTAGGGCCTCTTAAGTCTATGTTTGAGAAGTATAGTCGCACACTGATGGGTGTGTATGTTTTTCCCTGAGCTTCCAAACCTGTTGTGAGTTGCTCTTAAGCTAAAGGATTTCTCAGGGTGTATGGATCTATTTATACACTTGAGTTTTTATATTTTTGTGATACTTTATCAATACTAAATGTTTTTTTGGGAAAAAGTTTTTATCAATCTTTTTTTTGCTAATGTAGGCATTCTTTTATTTATTTACTCAGACTGCACAAAAGCAAACACACAAAGCAGCACATAATGCAGTGATAAGAGGTTGGCTACTGGATACATACAATACTGTTAGTGTTGTTGTTGTTGTATTATGTTTTATTGTCATTGTATATTTATCTGATTAATATGATTGAAAGTATCAGTTTAGAGTATCAGTAAACCCTTCTGTTGGTCTGACTGGCAAAAGCAGGCAATCTTTTAGGATTACCTCAGCCTGGCTCTTCTTTAGCAAAACACAGCAGCTTCCAAGTCTTTATGAAAACAAACTGGGAGCAGATTTACTGATGGTGTCATGTGAGTTCTGTTTTTTTTTTTTTCCCTTCAGTTTCCATGTTGACTTTTTTTTTAAGGCACACTCTGACTCAGGCACTTTCTGACTGACTTTGAGAGCAATATAACTAAAACACAAGCTGACTGTGGAACACATTTTGAGACCTTGCCTTTAATCGAGTCCTCAGTCTTACATTTAGCATATTTTTGCAGTGCTCTGTCTCTGTCATTTGCCTGCATTAATGTCACTGCTGTGTGGCTCTCTTTCAATTGGACCTCATTCCATGTGTGTGTTGTTGCCGTCCGTAGGAGAGTGGTTTATGTATTTCAAAAGGGATTCTGCAATGCAAATCAACATAAAGCGTTAAACTGGAACTGAATTTAGGGCATTCCTCAGCAAAAATCATCCCAAATACTTTTTCTATGAATACAAAATAGGATTATATATATGCATGAGGTCCACTTTGGGCTCCTTTTTTTAAAGAGAGATATGATTACAAGTTTATTTCCCCTGAAACAGCTAGTTTATATGCAGCTCATTGAAAATATTTCTGCTGATTAAAAAGAAGACTTTTTTTTTTTCAAACAACACAACCACCAGCTAATGCCAGGCATTCACTCCATGTAGACTGTGCCCCAGCCACTGACCTAGATTTACCCCCCTACCCTGGGTTGAATTATTGGGCGGAGGAGCAGTCTGGGATCGCAGGAGTGGCCTTGATGAGGCCTGCCACTCACCCCCCCCCCCCCCCCCCTCACCCCCACCCCCAGGGGGCTGCAGCGCTGTCACATTGACGCAGTGTTGCCTCTTTTTGAGACAAGGATTTTCTGAATACATTACTAAAAGATTATAATATTTATAATATCTAAAGCCTTATAATAATTCATAATTTTACCTTTGACTTTAGGATTTTTTAAATTAAAAATGACTGATATAAGAGGAAATGCATAGGTTACACAGAATGGATTATCTTTGTAGTTCCTATTTTGAACAATATTTACAGTGTTAAAGGTTTAACAACCAAAACGCTTTTCTGAAAGCTTATTTTATGACAAGTATATTAGGTGACACTAGGCAGAATCCTGTATTACACAGGCGCTGATTAGCTTTGAATTAGTGCTCTTTTTTTAAATTTAAGCCTCTGGTGGGGATTTTACTTAGCAATAACAAAGTTGATTGATAAAACATCTCTGGAATAAAAGTGCAGAAACTAGCTTACAGCAATCACATGGTTCATCATGTGGAAAACATATTAGCTCCATGTTTAAATGCTAATACAAGATCATTTGGGCTCCACTGTCTTGCTTCTGCATTTTTTCCACATTTCAGTCATTTAGCAGACAACATTGGGTTCACTGAGTGCAGAACACTAAGCTTCAGTCTACACTGCCCACAGCATCTAGTAGT